AGTATTTTGTGAATGTCATTGCTGTAAAATGCAAACATCCCTAGTGTGCAAGGGCCTCCACAAAAAGGCCTTACTATAGGGAGTCTCTAAGTATAAACATGCTATTTTTCTACCAGGGGTTTGCAAAATATGTGAATGTTTTTATGTACTTCATTTAGTCACTGTCTTCTGCTATGCTATGATACTCTGTGAACTTGTGTTTCTGGATACATATTTTGTACAAGATGCATTTTATTACTAAATGTTTGTACGCCCAAACACTTCAAAATGAGGTTTGTGTTTATGAGTCTGTGGGAAATTCAGCATAGGTTTGCAGTGTGGTCTCCTGTTTGAAGTACTAAAAGAAATAAAAAATATCCCCCCCCAAACATATTTTTAACTGAAATGTGAAGGCTTGTTGTTGTAGAAAATGAAGGGGGAAGATTAATTTAGCAAGAAAATTTCACTTCTCGGAACGGAACGAAGCTTCAAAACTCTGAATGAAAACCTCAGCTGACATTCAGGCTGTGCCTGCCTTTTTTTTAATCATCCCATTTAATGTAGTCCACTGTCCATTTCTATCGGTCACATATCTTTATATGCACTCTTAAAGCACGAAGGGTTGAGTTGCCCAGTAAAAGCATGGATGTGTGCATGGCAGAAGAGTCATGCTGTCTTTTTTTCAGTTCACGTCAGACACTTATTTCCAGCAAACAGTTATTTAGCTTTATGGATGTGCAGCTTTATATACCGGCATGGTACAAAATGAGTAAAGCTAGCAGCACAGCTGCAGTAAATTCCACTGAGACTCTGTTTCCTGCAACAACGTACAAAATACTTTTTCCAGACAATTATTTGAATTAAATTATTTAACTAAATCAGTAATGTTACGATTGTGAGTGGTAGAATCTTTGCCAGGAAGTTTGTGTTCAATGTTCTTTTGTCAGCGTGTCTTATAGCCAACTGTATGATTAGGTAGGTCGTTTTTTCCACACACTTTCCAAACGCATGCCTTGCAGTTATCAGTCAGTATCTGCTTTTATGGGACAAATCATGTTCACATTACACAAGGGAGTAACACAGTTAAAGTTGTTGTTACTCATGAATGTAGGATTTGGCTCAGTATCTTCACCTGCCTGTTTTGTTTCATATAGAGTGTTAGAACAGATACAGAATTGTGGGCACCAAATAATTAAAGGCCTTGTGATACTAGTGGGGACCATGTGATGAAGTGCCTTTGTTTGGAATGGCTAGACCAGAGGAGCTAAGTTAACATGAAATATTTCCTTAAGCAGCAGAAAGTAGTGGACCTTGGTTTCCAATGAATTTGTCTTGCAGACTCGATTTACTTTTTAACTGAATTACCCCAAGTCTTCATTGTGAGCTGTGCTCTTAGCTTATGCTGAAAACACAGCTGGGTGAGGAGTGGACCCTCTGATACCAGGTTGTAATGGAGGTCTCACTGCAGCCTTTTTGTCAATGAAGAGAAACTCTGCTTGTGGACTTCCTCCCAGCTTCTCGTTCTGATTGCATATGGAGGAGTGTAATAGTTTGAAGACCTCTACCTTCTGTCAAAATTGGCCAAAATTGACCAATGAATTACAAAAAATGTAGCTGCTGGAGATGCAGACATGCCTACAGTAACACAAAGAGAAATTTTATGAAAACAGATTAAAAGTAGGACATTGTAGCTACCCCACTAACCAATTTAATTACAGTTATTAAATTTTGTTTACTGTTTTGTATGTGTCACGCTCCCCTTCGGGTAAATCTTTTCCTGTGAGTGGGCTGTTTCCTTTCTGCTTCTTTCTTTAATCTCCAGGATATCCTCCTCTGTAAAGAAGATTGTCACCCCCACACTAGTGCTTATGCCAGCAGGAGAGGGAGCAGTGACCTTCAGACATCAGCAGGCACGACCCAAGAGCACGGGGAGGGACTGATGACATGCCCTGTCTTGCCTCCTCTGCCCTGCTCTGTGCCAGGTCCTAAGTGTGACTGCACTGGTGTGACTGCCGCACCGCAGTTTTGTGCGAGTTAATGCCATTGGCCTTAGTCAAATGCTGTTGAATAAGATGCTAATGATGCATCAAAAGCTTTTGACCCAAAGCAGGTCGCTCGTGCCTGAAACATGTATAATGCTGTTCTCACATAGCAGATATTTACAGACATACATAATGGGATAGTAAATACTGGAGGAACAGGGTTGGGCTCTAAACAATCCTGGGGAAAATGTTCTGTGATCAGGAAGGACTAGATCAGGTGTTTACAGAAGCTCTTCCTATTTTGGAACCTTGGGAAACCAGTTAAGGTATGTTGTCGGCTTTCTTTGCCGTAGGAAGGGAGAGCTCTGCACCCTTCAGTGGGATGGACTGTGTTTTTTAAGAACATCTCTGGAAGGACTGTGGAAGAGAGAAGTACCTTTCTCCACATTTTGCAGAAGAGAAGGCAGGTAGAAAAAATTTCAGCACATTCTCCTTGTGCAATAGCCCAGTTCAAAAGATCCCCTTCACCTCTGGGAAGAGAAGGGCGTAAATGCATGTCTCATGGGTGGGAGCTGATGTAAGGAAGGGGGGAGGCTGTAAGACCTTGCTCCCTGTACTGAGGAAAGGGGTGACCGGGAGCAGACAGAGAAGAGGAGTGGGCTGTGCAGCCACATGCCTCCAGCTGAATTGTTGTCGCTGCTCAGGGTTCCCACATTCTGCCTAGGAGATCCCGACAGGAAGAGAGATACATGTCTCGGGCTGCTTTGGCACAACAGGATCAACCCATTGGGAAGACGCTGCCTTCCCTTGTATTGTGCCGCTGAGCTGTTGTGCAGGCAGTGGTCATTTATCTGTGCCTTCTGGGCAAGCGCAGTGACTTACGCAATGCTAGTGGAGCTGGAGTAACTCTAACCACCTTAATCCTCCCCCAGTGAGTATCTGCTTGGGCAGCCTGCAGGAATGGGCACCTTGCAAGGTCCCGTGGTGTGCCTGTCTGCTCTAGGATGCCCCATGTCCTGCTCCCCACTGGCTGTTGCAAAATAAGGGCTTTACTCCCAACTGCCTTCTCTTCCAGGCTCTCTGTATGTGCCTGCGGTTGGCCTGTTCAGTGTTTTCCTGGTGTGCCTCTCCCATAGTCTTTGTGTCTCTGGAGCCTTGAATTGGAGCTTGTTCCGGCCTTTGGGAAGGACAGGCAGGATCTCCTTTTTGGCCCTTGCTCTTTTTCCCCTTTGTGTGAGGTTTGGCCCCATGTTTTGCCTTGCCATTGCCCACATTGCACAGACTTCTCACTTAACGCTCCTTTCTGTGACAGTTGCCAAACTGAACAGATATGGCTGATATGACTCTGCGTGCCTAGAAAAAAGAAACATTGACTTGCCGGGTTTCTCGTTCTTGCTCTTTCATTGGTACCCAAAATCAGCCAGTTGCCAGGAAGTGTGGTACTTTATATGATCACTCAGTAGAATCAAGATAGGAATCTTGGGTATATAATGTTGATGATTTATGGTAAAAAAAATGGTGTTTGGCACCACAAAAGGTTGGCCAATCTGTGCTGTGCTGGCCTTCTCTCCCTGAAGCAGCACCGTTGTGGTGGGGATTTTGCAGGCCAAGACCCTTCCCCAGACAGCGCATAGTCCATGCGATGGTTGTGTCTTTGTAATGTAATGACTACCATCAAAATGTGGAAGTGGAAACTAGCAGGTAACAAAACACAGATATTAAAAGAAACATACTAAGCATAGTTTCAGCCTTTTCTTTATACTTACCATGTTTCTGTTTCTACAGCTTTGTTAAGGTTTACTTTGTCTAAAAAAGAAAGGAATACAGGATCATATCAGAACCATTCCAAACAATACGTTGATACATAGGGTAGAAGGATGATCCATTCAATTCATTCAGACACCTACTTCAGCCATGCAGATTTAGTTATTTTGGGAGTGAAAGAAGGAGAAAGGAGATGTAATAATTTGACCTAAGCACATTTGTGATTTGTATTGCGAAAGTTTGTAAGATTTTAGGAACAACTTAACTTCATTGTAGTTCAGCTTGAATGGTAACAAAAGCACAGAAGTGGAACGGCCAATTTTCTAAAGATTCCATACTTTGGATGTTGTACTTGCTTGAAAATTTGGCTGTACCGTTGCAGGCAGAATTCTGAACAACCTTTGAACAGGATGCTTAGTAAGTTCCCTATGCAGTTTCGATGGGGCTTTTTTTTGAATGATTGTCCCCAGGTTACTGTTTAAAAGTTTCAGTCCCCAGGCATGGTTGTTTTAGTAAAGTGTTTGAGGCTTTTAATGAATTTTAATTCATTAATTTTAATTAAGGAAAGATTTTCTACACGTGTTAGGTATAACTCATTTGTCATTGTTCTAAGCGAAGGAGGTGGTGCAAGATATATTTAACCAGCCAGGGATGCTGTAACAGAGCTTAAAATAAAGTGGTGTCCTCTTACGTGTATTGGGAACAGTGAGTTCCGAGGAGGTGATGAGAAATGTTCATGTGCTAAAACCAGTCTCCAGTACTACATCTTTTAGTAGATCTTATAAGTTAAAAATATGCTGCGATGCCAGAGAATCAAACATGCATCGTTTTTTAACTCCTTGGCCCGTGCCTAGTCTGTGTCTTGAAAGTCTCCCTGAAATGGAAAGGTCATTTTATCTTTTTACTCTGCAGCCTGTAGGAAAGATCTGGCAGAGGGTTTTGGAAGGAAAAGTCTTGTGTCATCAGAACTTGCCTCAGGATCACAAGATGAGTTGCATGAAATGCCAGCCTGAGCTGGGCTGTAAGACTAACTGTTGTAACTTCAGTGAGGGAAGATTGCTCTCTGAGGTTTTCTCAGTGGTTTTGAAAGATATAACTGAAGGAATAACTGAAATGGAAAGTGAAGTCTAGAAGGAAATATAAAGAAGGTTCCTGGAAAAGAATTGGCCTTATGGGAATTCATTACTGAACAGGATCTAAAATGCTGAAGCACCTCTCTTCTGCTCTTTTGAGATGATAAAGACTTTAATTTTGGTTTTGACTTTTACAGAATTGCAGTTGTCACAGAGAAGAATAATCTCCATCAGCCCAGTGGTCATCAGGGATATGAACTCTCCTGTTTTTATCTAGATGGATGAAAAGGTTAACCACCCAGAAGGGGAGCTCCTTTGTTTTTCAAGATGGCAGCAACTAGTGGCGAAAGCCAGCTGCAGCGGATTATCAGAGACTTGCAAGGTACCGTGCCATGCCGACAGATTCATTCTGTAGGCTGGACTGCATCCTCCATGTTTTAGGTAACAGAGGGTAGGAGTTGTGTTTTCAGTTGTGTAACACTTTTGTGCAGCAGCTGTAGCAACATAGTTCAATATGTGTGATGTGCTCAATAGAGATGCAACTGTTTTTTTTTGAGAAATGCGCTGTACCTTCTGCAGGATCCTAAATTCTTGAATCCTGCACATTTAAACATACAAAATAATAAATCAGTTTTACGATTTAAAAAAAAAAGTGCCTGTAGGGTGTGTGGTCTGAGCTAGGACTTTGTTGGCATGAAGAGAGCTATGCTGTTAGAGGACTTCATGTGAGATAAGGAGAAGGCCTGATTTTTAGACCCTCCCTTGATGGGAAGCTGGTGTGGGGTTGCTGCTAATGTAGGAAGGCCAAAGCAAACTGGGAACCAAACTCAGAGGAAGAGTGCTGGAGAATTGGATCTGCTGTTCTTGCTGCAGTGGAACATGCCTTCTGTGCACCTGATTCGTCCTCCACTAGCAGTAGCCAACCTCATTTTCCACAGCTCTGTTGTAGGCAAAATTGGCAGCAGATTCATAACCATTTTCCTGCTCTCTCTGTCCTAATCAGCTGCCAATACCAAGATCCACATATTTTTCCTTTTGTTTTTTATTAAATAGAAGATATGCATCAAACCTGGGAATCTGGATCTTCCTGTGATGTAAAAAGGAGATCTACGTGCCTGCTAACAAGAAGAGATTTTCATTTGCAAAGGAGATTGAGTGGAACTGGGAGCTAAGGCTCCCTCAGGCACCTGAAAGAAATACAAAACCAAGTCAAAAGGAAGCTCAAAATCAGTAATTTCTGATGCTGAGAAGTACAGCCCTTTGGGGCCAGAGTCTCCAGGGAGACAGCAGAGTTTGCTTTGACTTGAGATTTCCACACCCACTATGCCTGTAGGTTTTAGGGAAGAGGAGTTACTGTATGCTTATTTTTATGTAATTATTTTTCCTGTTTGTGTTTTGTAACCAGCACAAGCTGAACCTTCCTGAATAAAGCATGGAGAAGATAAATGTGCTGACTGAACGACTGTTCTCGTATTACTGATCCCCTTTAGCAGATTACATGCTTTGTCCTTTCTAATCAGAATTCTGTTTGTCCTGTGGCAGTACCTTAATGTGCACATGAGAGAGCAGAAAGTTACTTCTCTTTCCTCAGCTGAAGAACCAGTTAGCAATTGTCTGTTAGCGGTTTTTGCTAAGTGTCAAAAGGAGGTTTAGCTCTTTTTAAGAAGTAGCTGGTACACATAACTTGAGCTCTAGTTTTTTTATAAGTGTTGTCAAATTGCAAATAAATCAGTAAGCTTTTTGCACCGATGTTAAGACAGTTGGACTGAAAGAAACTGAACACACATGCACAATGTCCAGGCAGAAAACCCATTTATTCCGTAGTTTATGGATTCAGTGCTATATATCCCTTGCATTAGTTAACCATTTTGGTGTCTTGTTTTAAAGATGCTGTGACAGAATTAAGTAAAGAATTTAAAGAAGGAGGGGAACCAATCACAGATGACAGCGTCAACTTGCAAAAATTCTCCTACAAGCTTGAGTACCTTCTACAGGTAAAAAGTGATATGTGTCATTTGTAATCCACCATCAAAGCTAGGCCTTCTCTTCTCTTACTGGCTCTTCAGGATGTGGGGTTTGACTCAAATAATCATAAATATCCAGTTGAGTCTCTCTTTTTTTTTTTTTCCGGTAAGTGGGCTGAAATGTATGCTGCTTATTGTACTTATTTCAAGTGAAAGTAAATAAATATAATCAAAAGGCAATGCTGGCAGTTTGATGGAAGAATGTAAGGCATTTTTCTATTGATCCGAAAGATTTGATCTTGGTTTTAAAGATACGTCCTGATAAATTATCTTGGAAAAACTGTAGTAATGAAATCTTGACAACATTTTAACGCAAAATAATTACTAGTAAGCTGTTCACGGTGCAAATATAGTACTGTGAGTAATTTACAGAATTTTTAACAATTTCACTTTGGAAATTCATTTTTGTTATATAGAAAGCTTAACACAAAAGACTGATTTTTAATCTGAAATGCTGCTTTTTATCCATCCTCAAAATTTAAGTAAAAGAGGACGCTGCTGGGCAAACTGAAATTCAGTTTGCATAGTCTTGTGTCTACACATACTGTAATCCTGTCACTGATTGCAATAAAGACATGCTAATCTAGCCTTAATCTAGGCAAGGGAGTTTTAATTGGGTTGCAGAGGCTTCAGCAGAAGCTGAAGAATCCTTTGGGATTTGAACGGTCCAAGCTGTAGTCTATACCCTCTCTGCGTTGCTGCTGTGAGCGCGATTTAACTAGAGCAGGTTTTTCTGGTGCGTACGTGTGCTGTTGCCACACTTGATTGCAGGTCTCGCAGCAACTGGTTGTTAGTTCATTGCTCTTGAACAGCTGCTGAATCTGCTCCAAATGTTTGTGTCAGCAGTTTTGAATGGATGTCTATTTTAACTAGACCCAGAACATTATTATCTGTGACTGTCTGTAAAGTGGCTTTTGTAACTGCTGGATTGCATCAGTACAGTACAGTGTCTGTTTCCTTGGCTTCTTACATTGGCTAAAACTAAGAGGAGTCATGAAAGCTCATGTTGCTGGGAGAGAAAGCTGTATCTTGAGTATGTTTATATTTAAGTTTTGCTCATTGCGTTTTGTTTTCTTTGTTTAAGTTTGACCAGAAGGAAAAAAACACATTGCTGGGGAACAGAAAAGACTACTGGGATTATTTCTGTGACTGTCTGGCAAAAGTCAAAGGAGCTAATGATGGAATCCGCTTTGTCAAGTCTATTACGGAAGTAAGTATATCAGTTAAGTATCATAATACGTGGTTTATGTTTTGGTGTGTCCTTTCAGAGAGCGGTAGAAACCAAAAGAAAATACCCTACTTTTAACATGCAGCAAAAAAAAGTTGGGAGTTTTTATTTTTAATTCTCATGTATCGTATAAAAATCCAAGGTTACCGTTTTACTAGGGCACTAAATTATATAGGATTAGATAGCCTGGCTCTTACGTATTTTGAAGGCTGATTACACAAGTGAATGGTCCTGTTTGTCTCTGGTTGTGCCCTGCCTTTTCATATACTTCGTGATATTTTCTTTAAAAAGGAATGAAAAATTAAGTCAAGGGTAGAGCCTGCCATCTTTAGCATAGATTACAGCAGGACTTGGCTCTAAGTGTAAGAGGAAATATTCACCATATTTGACATTTCTTAAGACTTTTTCAACTGGTCAGTAGAGTTGAGGAGGACTGACTGAGAGCAGCATTTTATCTTCTGTCTCAACTTTGTTCCTCCATGTCAAATAGCATGATGTGATGGCTCGGGATGGTTGGCATTATTCCCTCGGGTAAGATGCCATGAACAGGACAAAAAGCTTGATTTTTATTAGATATAGTAATAAAAGCTTAATCTTGTAACAGCCATGTTATGTCTTCAGCTCAGTGAGTGGGTGAAATAAGTGCTGTGAGAAGCTTTCTGTGCTGATCCTGTCTGAGCCTTTAGAATCATCTGAAGAAGAGCTTCCCTGGTCGTTAAAAGAGGGGGTGGTTATGGTGGTGCTGGCCAGCATTGTCCTGATAGTTCTGTTATCTGTAAGCAGTGCTAACTCGTATTGGTGAGTTACTATTTACACCAGATTTCCCTATTCTCGTAGCAATTCCTCCACAGCAGCTCTAGAAAAAGTTTTGAGCCATCTGAAAGAGAGACATGATATTGTAGCAGAGGCAGGCTCTGTGTCCCCACCTTGCTTTCTTCTCTCAGCAACTTAGGCAATACTGAATTTTGCTCTTCCAATGCGAACAAGCCAAGGAAGAGCTCCAGTTTATTTTACCACTGGGCGGGGAAACAGAGGAGAGCCATGGAAATTGGGTTTCACTTTCCCACTACTTCCAGGAAGACTGGAGAAGTAAGGATAGTGACTGCTGCTGCAGGAAGGGTCCTCTGACTGTAGATACAGACCTCTAAATTCTCAGTAGTAGTAGCCAATCTGATTTCTCTGCAAAGGTGACTGTGCTGTAGCCTTCAACAGTCTGTTGCCTGTGGTATCACCTGCATATTACCACACGTAAAGGCTGCTCTGCTTTTTCCTCCTTCTTCAGTACCTCTGGCTGTTTAATGGTTAGCATGATGTCAGAAGCTGTTGTTTGAAATGGAAAATATCCTTCTTCCAATTTATGTGCAGCCATAGAAATTAGCTTGTGGAAGACTTTTTTAACTTTATTAGCTTGTGGTTTAGGAATACGAACTCTAAAAAAAAAAATCAGTCAACTGCTTCAGGTAACTGAGCTGGCAGACTCAGGTCCAGAAATGAAATGACAGAGAAACATGTTGATTATTCCCCTTCATTACAGGTGGAAATCAGCAGCCAATTTTTCAACTTGGCTGGACAGAACATAAAGGTTTCCAAATGTCATTTATTTGCTCACTGAACAGTACTTGTTGACTTTCAAAGATGAAAGTGAACAAGGAGGAAAGGGTAATGGCAGTTGCTTTTTAAGAATGGTCAAACATTTAACAGCATAAATAATGCCTTCTCTTCTGCTTTGCCTGCAGCGCTTCTAATATTAGGGTGCATGATATGCTAGAGAGGTGGAGCAAGGAAGCAAATAGGAATACCCTGGAAACTGCCCAGCTGTTAGTTAAACATTAAATCATTGTCCTTGATGGCATTAGGTGGGCAGTGAGTTCTGGTCGTTCCCCTTTCAAAAGGTGATTACACTGAATATACATCTGTCCAAGTCTTTACAGCCAGACAAGGCACATGATACAGTGCTACAGCCATACATTGCACCTCAGCTACAGCGTTTGCAGTCAACACGGAAACACTGACAATACCAGGCACTGCCTACCTCTGAATTCTAGCAGGGCTCTAGCAGGAGGTGGCATGGTTTTGCTTCCCAGGGCTCTAGCAAGAGGTGGCATGGTTTTGGTTCGCAGTCAAATAGTCTTTGGCTACTTGTAGCTGCATATATGTAAATATTTTTCCTTACTTCTTGTCGTGTACATTTGTTCCAGAAACTCCATGCTTAAAAAGGCGTTGGGATTTAAATTGATAAACCAATGGGAATAAGAACAGGATTAATTCAATGGCTTCCAGTGTTTTTTTTTGACTATTCTTAAGATACTCACTAAATATGCGTAGTTAGGAAAAACACTTGTAAGCTTCTGTGCACAGGGCAGGGATAACATCTCCCTGAAGAAATATTCAGACATCTACAGGGTGAATGAGGGTAAAAAACAGTTGAGAAATTAAATTTGCTGTTTCTGGGTTACTTAGCCTTTGGAGACCATGTTATTTCACACTTTGTGTCCTATGGAATTCAAAACAAAAAGCAGCAAAAGGTGTTGCTTCTTTTAGTCCACATTTCTTCATTCCATTTATAAGGAATGTTTTTGTATATAGTGGATTACTAAGATGAATGAGAAACCTGTGTCTTAATTGAGCACAGAAGCCCAGTAACAGCAAAACTGAGGAAACTGAGAGTTAGGGTATTGCTCTCACTCCACCACAGTGGAATACTGATCTGAAGGAGAGAAAACTTGTGTGGCCTCTGATCCTTCTATCACACTAACTTTTCAAGCAAAATTTACAGTAACCGGCTAGCTTGAGTCTCAGCCCCTCTAATGTTTTCCTTGGCCTCCATTTTTAAATCATGAATATATTTGGGTTGGTAGTTGGATAAGCAATTTGGTTAGGAGCATGGCTGACTGATGAAAAATTCCTTTCATCACTTTCATTTTCCCTTCCTAAATTGATTACTGATTTTGGTGGAAAGGAGAAATGAAGCACTACTGTTTAGTGTTTCACTGTTTTGCAGGAAGGCAAATAGTTCACATGTAAAACACAAAACAAAACATCAATTCCTCAAGTTAATAGCTGTAGCAAAATTTAGTGCTGAGTTTTGTGATCCCCCTTATGTTTATTTAACAGCTGTCTTCATAAAAAGATCCATTAATTTCGGTCATGCAGCTGCTCTTGGTCTGAAGTAAGAATTAGATTTTTTGTAACTTAATGGCTAAGTATTAAGAAAGGCTTTTTGCATTGTCTGGAGTTACTGTGTCTGTGGGGATATATATTTGTATGTGTGTACATCTTTGTTCTATGACTAGATCTGCCCTAAAGCTCTTCCAGCTGTGGCCAGCACATCTTAAGTAACCTAAGCAGCCACTTCTGGCTTTGCTGGGCATATTGAGATTTTGCCTTATGTTGGGAATTGTCCTTAACATAGTCTGTACTCATGTACTCAGTATATTAGGAGATTCATTGGTCCTGTAATGCCTTTTATATGATTATGAAGTGGACAACAGCCAGCTGTAGATACAAATTCGTCATTCAAAAAGGATTTCACCCAATGACAGTCTTGGGAGAAGGTTTCTCTTAGTGGAATTTCTTACTACTTCCTCTACAACTAGTGGCTTATTGTGAGGTTTTTGTGTTGCTATGTAGGCTGTTCTGGCCGTGTGTTTACATGATTACAAATGATATTTAGAATTTTCTTTTCTTGTGGTTTCTCCCTTCCAGCTACGAACATCTCTTGGAAAAGGAAGAGCATTTCTTCGTTACTCCCTGGTTCACCAAAGGCTAGCAGACACCTTGCAGCAATGTTTTATGAACACCAGGGTGACCAGGTGAATAGTAAAGTTCCTTGTGAACTAGTAGGTGTTTGTTCAGTGTGATCAAGCAACATCATCTAGTAGCTATTGAAAGAAATTGAAACCCTTCCAAATGGTTGACTTAGAGATCTGGTAATAGGATAGGAAGGATAATAGATCTTTTGGCCTGGGTCACTGGGTCATACCTATCTTAGGCTGGTAAAGATTGAAAGTTGTTACAGCTAAATGTGTGTGGAGTGGGTGTTGCTGATGCTTCTGTATGTTGGTTTCAAAGGCGACATTTTTTTTAGCATTGAAGATCCTGGGTTTGATCTTCTGTGCTGTACATCATAAGGGAGAATTAATTTGGATGTGTTGCGCGAAGCCCCAGAAAGCATTTGCATATATTGTCCTCTGGATTGTCACACAGAGGAACAGCTTGCCCCTTGCCAGGGAGCACCAAAGATAGTTTGTAGTTGTTTGGAGGGGCACTGATGGGGCTTTTAGGAAAAGCCAACTTTTGCACAGTGTATTTAGCTCTGGTTGCTGCTTTCTTTCCCTCATTTTTGATGTATTAAGTATGTGCTTTAGGTATTTACTGTGTGATTGCCTAGTGTATAGCAAATGTTTTGTCTTGCCAGTGTTTTGCCCAATTACTAGAGCAAAAAATAGTTTGTACAGGGGCTCCTCTAAGGATGTTTCTGTGGAATTCATTGAAACTGTTTAATTCCACTCCTGTCAAAGGAATGGGATGTTGGTTGGTGGGTCTGGTTGTTTTCAGATTGCGTTTACAATAGCATATCATAATTTTTCTAGGATGGAGTGAATAATGATATTGTAGGGGTTTTTTGCAAGTGAAACTACTGCTTCTCTTTTACTTATGAATATTACTTCTTTTTTTGTTGTTGTTTTCAAGTGACTGGTACTATGCAAGAAGTCCATTTCTGAATTCCAAAATGAGTTCTGACATTGTGGGTCAACTCTATGAGCTCACTGATGTTCAATTTGACTTGGCATCAAGAGGCTATGATTTAGATGCTGCTTGGCCAGCATTTGCCAGGTGAGATAGCACCACTTTGTCATTTCGTATTAACAGGGCCATAAAATACCCGCCTGCTGCAGAATCTGTAAAGGCTTCTGCTTTTGAAGGTAGCAATATTTGTGTTAGAGCAGGTATACACTTTCTCCATGTAATTAGCCTATGACCAAATTGGCCTTTGTTTCTTTCAGTGTACTGTGGACCAGAGATCAGAGTCGATGCTCCGTAATGGAGTGCTTCCATTAACTGCAGTTTAGGCCCAAATCCCAAGCTAGTCACATCTTTACAGGCACAAGAAGAAATGTTCTTGGCTCCTTCTCTTTTGAGAGCTGAGACGCGTAGTGGCTGAACAGCCAAGCAGTGTGCTTTACTTGCAGCAATTGTAGAGATGACAGTATGCGGTCACTACAGCCTGATCTCACCTCAAAGCAGGGAATAACAAAACTACTAGGTCTGATCCAGATCCCTTATCAGTGGGAGTTTTCCAGGGCTGCGTGCTGCCACCATCTGGTTGAGCTGCCACCATGCAGTGATACCATTTCTTAGAGCAAAGCTGTGTTGGTTCTTGTGGATGTGGGAAGTCATGGCTACCAACCCCATAATATTTTACAGGTGCTTTTGATATCCCTATTTTGTTTTTCATCAACATCAGTGGTTGTTGGCCCAGACACCAGGTGATGTCTTTTTGTATGTGGTAGTTACAACTAGATGAATCTTACATTTAAGAGTAGAAAGATGTACATGTTTGCGCTTTGACTTCTTCTATATATTGTTTCTTTGCGTGATCAACAGGAGGACATTGTCTTCGCTTGGATCTTCAGCATATTTATGGAAGCCCCCAAGTCGCAGTTCCAGCATGAGCAGTTTAGTGAGCAATTATTTGCAGGTAAGCAAATTACAAATAAATGTTTATGTGGCATGGTAAATCTTTAATTAATGGCATAGTTCTGAAGAGCTTGGTAGTTTTGTGGTGATTATGACTCTTACAATGGTAAACTACAAAAAAAATTCTCAATTAAAAGTAAAGGGAATTGTCCAATAGCTGATTCAACTGAACATGCAAATCTTTTAGAGAAAAAAAAAATATTGAGAAGACTGCCTGCAGATGGGGTGTTTTCATTTATGGTTTGTGAAAACAAGCCCCATTTCCTATAAGTTGGTATCTTGTAGTGCTGTAAACGCAATACAACGTCACTGTGTGTTAAGAACCTGAACTTGCTCTCATTTGAGCACACCATTTAAATGCATGTTTAATACTTCTTAAGCTTTCTCTTTTTCCCCTTCTGTTCATTTAGGCCCAAGAGTTTCCCTCCAGTCCTGATGCAAATAGCTCACTAAATGTTGAACACCTTGAGGGCTTTGAAGAGATGCGTGTAGAACTTGACCAGGCTGAGCTGAGGCAGAGGGAACTTCAAGATCGTATTCACCAGTTAGAAGTGGAAAACCAGGAGCTCCAGGCAGCTGTCAGCCTTCAGAAAGAACAAGTGCAGGTAGAAAAGGAGAAGAACAATAACTACAGCGAGGAGAACTCTCGGCTGGCAAAGATGATCACACAGTTACAGAAGCAGTGTGAGGTCTCGCACTCCACTCAGAGCACTGTTCATGACCTGCAGAAGTGCCTGCAGTCACTGAAACTGAATGCAGTGGAGCAGCAGAAGGAGTATTCAACACAGCTGGAGCAGCTGGTGACCAGCAAGGAAGACTGTGCCTTGAAACTGCAGGTGTTGAATCAGGAGCTGGAGGCCTCTAGGGCTTTGGTTGCTATGAAGGATCTTTGCATTGATGAACTCAAAGCCAAGCTGAGTTCCACAGAGCAGAAGAACCTCAATCTCCTTGCAAAAATTGATGTTGCCTTGGAGGAAAAGGGACAGCAAGCCACAGCCCACTGTGACTCTGCCCTACAGATACGGGTACTGTTAGAGAAGCTTCAGGAGACAGAAAAGGAAAAGGCAGATATGCAAAGACTCAGTGACGAACATGCATCTCAGCTGAAATCAGCAAGGGAGGAGCTGCATCTGAAAGAAGAGGCGCAGAAGGAACTGGAATCCAGATACAATCGCCTCACTGCTGACTCCAAAGAAGAGAGTGAAAAGCTGCTTGGGCGCCTGGAAACCATGACAAAGGAAATGGATGCACTTCAGAAGGCCCTGACCCTGAAAGAAAAGGAGATGGCTGAGCTCCAGACCCAGGTAATGGGGTCTCTGGCTCACATGGGTTCACTGGAAAAAAGTCTTGAGGAAGCAAGGAAAGAAAAAGAGAAACTTGAGGAGGAGTATGGTAGGAGGGAAGGAGCACTGAAGCAGGAAGCCCAATCGCAAGCCGAGCAACTTGAACTACAGGAGGGTCACTTAACAAAGGTGAGTCAGACTGTGCATAGCCTTGAGGAGAAAAACCGGAAACTCTTGTCGGAGAAAGAGCATCTCAGCCAGAAAGTCAAGGAGCTGGAGGAGCAGATGGAGCAGCAAAACTCTGCAGTGAGCCAAATGGGTGAGGAGAGCAGTAAGCTGAAAGCAGAGAATGAGAATTTACAGCAGTCCAAGAAGAAGATGGAAGAGAAGCTGAACAATGTGGAAGCTTCTAAATCTTCCCTGGAAGCTGAGGTGGCCAGGCTGAGAGCCTCTGAGAAACAGCTTCAGAGTGAGATAGATGATGCCCTGGTGTCAGTTGATGAAAAAGAGAAGAAGCTCCGGGGCGAGAACAAACAACTGGATGAAGACTTGCAGAATGCCAGGAGGCAAAACCAAATTCTGGAGGAGAGATTAGAGGCTCTGCACTCAGACTATGAAGAACTAAAGCAAAGAGAAGAGGCTACCAAGGAATCTTATGCCTCACTTGAAAGACAGCTGAATAGTGCCAAACAGCATAGTTTACAAATGGAAAAAAGCTTAGGCACCTTGAAGGAAAGCAAAGAGTCTCTCCAGTCACAGCTCACAGAGAAGGAAGTAGAACTGCAAGGCATGGAGAGCCAATGTGAGCAGCTAAGAGCAGAAGCTGAAAGACATAGGAAGAAAGCAGAGACTCTTGAGGTAGAGAAGCTCAGTGTTGAAAAGACATGCCTTCATCAGACAAAACTTATTGAATCCCTCACATCAGAAAAAGAATCAGTGGAAAAACACCAACTACAGCAGGCGGCTTCTCTGGAGAAGGAGGCAAAAGAGCTGGCCTCCAGGCTGACTGTGAGTGAAGCGCAGTTGGAGGTCAACCGAGGTGAAGTGTTTAGGCTGCAAGCGGAAGTCCTTGAGCTGCGAGTCAAGCTTCGGCAGACCACTGATGAGGCAGAGCAGATGAGAGGTGAGCTGGCAATCACAGAGACTGTCTTGGGCGAGCAGAAGGCACTGGTCCAGCAGCTGAAAGAGCAAAGTGAGTCACTCAACAGAAACCATGTGCAAGAACTGGTGCAATGTAAAGAAAGAGAAGAAGTGCTGAAAAGAGAGCAGGAGACGGCAGCCCATCAAAAAGCTGAGCTGGAAAATAATTTGTTGAACTTGAAGGAAGAGCTATCCAAGCTTAAGCAATACTTGGAAGTTGCTAGAATGGAAAACGAAGACAACAAAGATCTCCTCCACAGGACCAACACAGATATGGCTGAACTTGGTATTCAGATTTGTGCCTTAACCTCAGAAAAGGTGGATGCAGAAGAGCAGTTAGCCCAGGCCACAGAAAGGCTCAAAGAACTAGAAGAAGAGGCAGCAGAGAAACAGGAGAAGCTGAAGCTTGACATCTCTAATCTCGGACAAGAGAACAAGAGCCTGCAAGAGAAATTAGAGGAGGCTCAAATATATGCTGCAGCTGTCCCAAGTCTGCAATTGCAGCTGGAGACAGTAAAAAAACAGGCACAGAGTTTCCAAGAGACCAGCCAAGAAGAGCTGTCTGCAATAAAATTTCAAATGAGCACAGAGATTCTAAATTATCAGACAAAATTCAAGGTAAATTAATGTGATTATTATAGCTGAGGAAGCTGTGCAGGATTTCCCCTGCTTTACCATCTGCTGCAGGAATTACTGGGTGAAATCCTACGGTTTGTGTTGGTCAGGCGCTGAGACTAGCACGCAACTAGCCTTAGCCTGGGAATCCGAAAATGTCTCTGCACTCATGACCTAGGCCTATTTGAGGTAAAATAACTCTTCAGAGTTTTTTGGAGATGTATAGTGTGGCCATCTGAGCACAGTGAAGAGGCCACGTGATATGGAAAAGCCAAACAGTAATGGAGATGGTGATGATTTCTTACATTGGCACCGAAGGTGGCATCGTCTGTAACTATTCCCTCTGGTCACAACTGTGATATTTTTCTATTTTGGAAAGAACATTGCAAGACCTGTTCCCCACACCCATTACACTGCTTCTCCTTAAAACTGATTTTGATGAAAGCAAACTTAGACTGTATAAGACGAGATACTTTTGCAGTTAATTCCCTCATGCATTTTTGCTTTCAACTGCTCAAGGTAGCAGCCAAAAAGATCAAAGTTTTGCTTCCAGAAAAAAAATGAGTCAGTTCTGTGTATGTGAAAGAGCACATCAAAAGGCTGAAGATTTTGTTGTGTTTGTTCTGCCATGCTGAGATAATGTCTAAGACTGGCAGTTGATCAGAGGCTTATGCCACTGGTGGTATCCAGAAATCCTGTGAGTTTGAGAAAATAGTGTGCATTCATTTATGTTTTGTTTTCATAAAGGCTTCTTAAACCTCAGTATGATATGGGCTATCTCACTCTTTTGAGCCAAAGCGTTTCACAAGTTGGACCTTCTTTTTGCTGAGAACTGTAGTAGCCCATAGCAAGTAACAGTAAAACAGCTGGTCTGCCACCACACAGGAGAGTTTCTTTGAATCCATGAGTCTTTAGCTGTCTTTCCTGAGCCTGACAGTGGTGGTGCATTTATCCTATACATGACAGTAAGAGCACTCGTGATTTCACAGTTGGGAATTTCAAAGATGAAGCGGTGGCCACTAGAGGAATGCTAACTCCTGGCTCAATCTCTCTGCTAGGCTGTCAGTGAAGAGTGTGGTAAAGTAAGAGAGCAACTTGAGGAGCAGAAGCGACAACAGCATGCTGCAGAGGAAGAGATTGCAGAGTTACAAGTAGGTGCTTGATCTGATTAAGAGCCAGAGGTGTTTGTGTCATCAGGCATTAGTGTTATAATTGAGAAGGCAGGCAGCATTTCTGACCACTGGCTGAGAATGCCCTTGAACAAATACAGGTGCTGCAGCTACAACACTCGGCAGCTGAAAGTTAGCCACTGAAACAGAAATTATCAAAGCTAGTCAGGTTTTATCTTAAGACCTAGTTACGTGTCCACTTCTTAAATGGAGGTGCTGGTTTAAAAGGTGTCTTATCTCAGGCCCTGCCTGCCCACTGCACACATGTGGCTCCAACTGTGTGCAGGCTGCACGGGGCACTGAATCAGAGAATTAATCTTGCTGAGAAATAACTCAGCTGGAAAAAGTAGGATTTTTGCAATATGTATTTATCAAGCAGCTTAGTTAGGAGGATCGTACTGAGGTGTAAAGGATCTGGAAAGTAGAAAGTTAATGTGATTGAACCTGTTCCTACCTGCTGGCAGAAGTACGTACACCTTTAGATGCAGTTAGGTATATTCCCTGAGGACTCTTAGTTTGACAGACTTCTCTGGAGAGATTGTGAAAGTCCTTCATGTTCCATATAGCTTTAATAAACAACCTTTTCTAACTTTTATTTGTTTTTTTTTCTTTTGAAACTTTTAGATGGTGAAAAAACTTCTAGGGCATGTTCTTTTGCCATTATCTTTGAGAGATTTTCCTTGATAAGGAGGCAAAAGTGCAACTGACATGGACTAATAAGAATCAGAGGCTTAATACTGTCTCACTTTAGAGTCAATCCCTTATTCAGTGTGACAGAAGTAATCAGTCGCTAGTACACAACTAATTAGTGTCTGCTTATACAATAATATCTTAATTGGCGATTTGGCTTTAACCGATTCTTTTAAAGCGTTGTTTAGGTGTCTTGGTAATTGTCCAATGCTTGGTAAAGTCTTGTTTTCATACGTAAGGAAACACAGTAATTTATTTCACTAGGCTGCAAACACGAGTTTGTCTAGAAAGCTGGATGAAGCGAGAGAGCAGCTGTCCGAATCAGAATCTGCTCGGCTGCAGAAGGAAGAGGAGGTGACGTCTCTGAGAGAACTCTTGGAAAGGTGGGAGTTTGGGTTCTTTATACAAGCCATTAATTGTAAGCCAAGCAAGGGGCCGATAACCAAAGCATATTGAAAATTGCTGTGGTTTGTAAAGTAGCGTAGGCCATGGGGTTTCTATAGGACAAATAGTGCATGGGCACTGACAAGGAATAGCAGATTGACACTTCAGATGAGAAACATATAAATTGCATAGCACACGTGAATGAAAGGTTTAGGTTTTATTGTATTGTTAATTTAGATGATGGCATAAATTCATTGAATATCTTCCTTTATGCAACTGCAAGACATTTTATAACCTCTTTTTGCCTTATAGGTTAGTCACAAAATTAAAACACCGATATTGGCTCTTTTTTGTTTCATAAGGAGTGGAATATTTGTGCTTTTTGACAGTTTGTTTTTTCTCTCCTGTCCATGAATTTTCAGGGAATTGATAAGCATTATTTGAATGGGACCACATGCTGCATGTCTTTGTCAAGTTTCTTACCAGTTTTAAGTATCTAACAGGAGTTACGTTTCCGAGGTCTGTAATGTGGGCCTGTGTGGTGTGGATTATCTGGCAGTCCGGAATAGATCTTCATGAGGCATGGGCTCACACAGAGTCTAATGGGTTAACTAAAGCCTATATATTTTTACATTTTTGTACTGATAGCATCTGTCTTTGAGGGAAGACCGATGGTTTTTGATCTATGCTGAAGATTGTCAGTACAAAATCTTACTCATCAAAATATTTTAATTCAGCTGAATTGACTGAGTGAGTTCCGATTAGCTCAGCTCTTTGTGTTGTGTTGCTGTAGCATTTTTGATCCATTCCTTGAACTCACAGTACTGAAATTACCATTTCATCAAGCCAAGACTTGTACCTCCCAGGGAGGTGTTCCTCCCTGGAAGTATTCAAGGCCAGGTCAGACAGGGCTTTGAGCAACCTGATCTAGTGAAAGGTGTCCCTGCCCATGGCAGGGGGGTTGGAATTAGACAATCTTTAAGATCCCTTCCAACCCAAACCATTCTATGATTCTATGAACATTTAGTTTTTTAATTGCATCTGTGTTAGAAGAATATAGTGAGAAACTGATTTGCTTCCCTTTTGTGAACACGAAGGCTATGGAGGAGTATGTGTTAAATGGCCCTTTTGTGTGCAACCTGCAAATGCTGGGCAACCTATGGCTGTAGGACTTTCCCCATTTAGCTCAGTTTGCAGCTGCTGATGATCTTAGCTTCCAAGGATACTAGTTTTATTCCCAATTTGGTAGCCATCACAAGCTTCGCTATGAGCAAGGCACCCAAGAAATTGCTGATTGCTGACTGTATTCATCAGATAACAGATCTGTGTGCATGTTCAGTGATGCAGAAAACTGGAGAGATTCTGGCTAGCTATAAAAAAACACACACACTGAGAACAATTTCACCAAAACTACCTGTTTTTCAGGGTGGAGGGAAAGACTTGAATGCGCATGAGCTAAAAACGATTCTGAATTGCCTTTGTATTTGATCAGGATCCAAAAAGAAGCTGACGAAGCAAAAGAGAAGGTCCTAGATTACAGTGAGAAGCTCAGCAAGGTGGCAGCAGATAAAGATAGCAGCGACCAGAAGTTATTTGCTGAACTGGATGACTTGACGAGAACAAAACAGTTCCTTGAAGAACGTTTGATAGAACTTATCAGGTTGGCATTGAAATAAACAGCAAGCAGAAATTAAAATCCTGGTTTAGGATGTAAAGGGATACTGCCTAGGTGGTTCAGTCTTGTATTCCTGAATTGTATATACAGTTAATGGCCAAATTCACCAGCAGTTGAAATTTTGCGTTTCCATAATGCGGTCAAGAATATAACACCTAACATTATCTCCTCTTTAATCTGCTGTTTTTCAAAAATACGTAGTTCTCTGCATGGCATGTGTTTTAATCCGCCCCTTCCCAAGAGTTCCAGTAGGTTTCTTGATCTGTGTTTATTCCTGAAAGCTCCTCAGAAGTTACAGCAAAGCAATTTTTACTGTGAAGCTTTCACCAGCATTCAAATTGACAGTTGACAGTAAACCAGCACTGATAATTTCTATGTGTTTTTCTTTCTTTTAACTGTGTTTTTGCAGAGATAAGGATGCTTTGTGGCAAAAATCAGATGCTCTGGAGTTCCAGCAGAAGCTCAGTGCAGAGCAAAGGTGGCAGGGGGACACAGAAGTTAATCATTGTCTGGACTGCCAGAGAGAGTTCTCCTGGATGGTGCGCCGACACCACTGCAGGTCAGTTTATTGAACTCTATTACGCTGTTCAAAAAGCAAAATTCAGTACAATCATTTACGTGGATGAAACACTTCTTAATGTCCACAGTCCATTGGTCAAAACCATTGATACAGGACATTGTAGAGGCTGAAAGAACACATAAGCTCACAAGGGGATAAGAAACATTAATGGAAGGGTCCCTTGACATGTATTAAGGCAAAGATCTGGATGCAACTTTTGACTTGGGGAGTCTGTCAATTTCTCATTTCTGGAAACAAAGATAAATACACCCTACATAATGTGTTTTTTTGAAGGACTGTGTTTTTCATGTTTATTATACACTGCTCTGTGCATGCTGTAAATACTACTCACTAAGATGGTTTTGCTATTGTGATAGAAGTTTTCCAGAACAAATCCAATATGCTGTGTTACATCCAATATGTAACCAAATAAATTTGATTACTTACACTAGATATGTTCAGAGATAATTACCGACTGCAAAGTAATCTTTTTTTAAAAAAATAAGATTAAATTATTTCCTATACAATTAGCCTGCTTGGAGTTACTAGTTACCTAATCTAGATTTATTCAAATCTGTTGAAGAGGATACATTTCAAGGTCTTAGTGATATGTTTGTTTTGGCTCTTTCCTGTTCTATATCCTCACAATCTGATTCATCATGTAAGATATGTAGTACTGGGACTTTCAATTGCGTATTGATGTAGGGAACGTTCGATGGAGATTAATGAATAGTGAAGTAATTTCTGGTAAGAACTTTCAGTTTACTCATTTCTACTAAAATCTGTGAAACCTGCTCGTGTTTTCACCAGTACCTACTAATGATTTAAATGATTATGAAAAACAAAACTGCTAAGACTTCATCAATAACAGTCATCCCTGCTGGGTGCTTTTCTTCATGAAAATCTTAACTTGTTAATTAAAAAGTAGTTGACAGGTTTAATACTGAGAGACTGCAGAACAGGGAGGGCAGGAGGGATGAATGTACACATATATGTCCAATATTGTTTCTTCTTTCCCGTCTGAAGGAAGGAGGGGTGATTACTAAGTAGGCGTACAGGCACTTACACTCCTTACAATCAAATGGAGTTCTATTCTGAGTATGAGATTTGGCCTGTGTAATATTAAGTACATTTGCTTCACATGTACTTAAGATAAGTGGTATTTATTTGTGTTGCATATTTGTGGGTATTTAATTGTTATGATGGATTTATGTTTAAATGTATATTTACATTTTTTTAGCTTTTTTCTGTTTTTTCTGTTTTCCCAATTTATTAAGGCAGCAAAGCATGAATGTGCATTTTTTCATCCTGTTTGTCAAGAAAACTTGCTTCACCTCAGAAAGCAGTGCAGTCTGTGTTATGAGTTCTGCCATGGATGTAGCGTTTGGGCGTTTTCAGAGAAGAGCAGCACTATGACAAAGCTCCAGACTCTGTCACGTAGATATGTTCCACCTATATGTGGTACTATTCTAACACCTTTGGTTTCGTATCATTTCTAGAATGTGTGGTCGCATTTTCTGCTACTACTGCTGCAACAACTACATGGTGACAAAGCCTGGTGGAAAAAAGGAGCGTTGCTGCAGAGCTTGCTTTAATAAGCCTAGAGTCATTGTGGACAGTACAGATGACTCTGGGTCCAGTGCCAACCAGGAAGGATCACCAGCATCATTGGAATCACCTGTGTCATCATCCGAGAGGGCTTTTGGTTAGTGCATTGTTTGAATGCTGCAGAGAAATAAGTAGAGTTCTTAGACATTCTCCAAGAAACCACACGGTCACCTCCTACTTCAAGGGCCTGCATGTTCACAGAGTGTTTTCAGGATGGGATTGGTCCCATCTTTGAATTTGCTTGGTATGGACAGAAATTTGCATGTATATGAAATGAGCGTCAGTCAGCCTGACAATTTCAGTTGGTTCTAGTAGTTACTTAATGTTTCTGTAAAGGTAGAGGAATGGCCCAGTCTTCCTTCTTAAGAGTTTTGCTTCTTTGTTTTCGAAACAACCAGCTAATATTGTTAATGTTTCTTTTCATGTCTTTTTGTGGCACAGTTGCAAGTGAAGCCTCTAAACCACCAGATGATGCAGCGTTTGATATAATCACTGATGAGGAGCTGTGCCAAGTACAAGAATCAGACTCTCTCCACAATGAAAGTCAGATGGAGGGAGAGTCTCTGGATCAAAGCGTGACAGATCTGTGAGTAAACAGTGCTTCATAGAGAGGGGACTCTTTTGGGTTTTGTTTGGAGCGTTAAGGTTTTTTTTTTCTATTCAGTGGGGATAGCCAACCTCTGCATAAAGAGAAGATACTTCTGTTGCCAGCCACACGTTTGGTAGACCAACACAAAATAATCTTGACCTATTTGCACAGTCAGCATCAAATCTAATAAATCCAAACAGCTCCGTCCTCTTTGTCCATCTGCTGCACTACAGCACAGAGGAGTAGTTCCAGTTCTATGCTGTCACCAGGGCAGCTGACACCATTAAAATCAGCTTGCAGGCCACACTGGATCACTGGTCATTTACACTTAACTTCTAATAGGAGCTAAGCGATACTCACTGTCAGACTCACCATGACTTGATAACAAGAGAACGAGGAGGTGGGGAAAAGATAAGGAAAGATTTGTTCTTTTCTGACAGGCTTAATTGAACTGAATGTGAAATAACTGGTCTGTGTCTGTAGGATTCCTCGCTGCTTTTAATATAACAGCTTACAGAAAGAAAAAAAAAACAGAAATTGCATAGCTAAATCTGGCACAAGTTTGTTCTTTTTTTCTTAAGAAAATGAGAGTGAATGCAGGCTTCAGTCTTCTTTTCACATCTAATTCTACATAAATTAGCAATGAAAGGGATCTAAGGCCATCTGAATATCTGAGTACTTAGTTTGCAAACTATGTTGTAGTAGTATAGTTTAATGTATATACATGTTTATACAAAATATTGTTTTACTATTGTTCAAATATTTTTCAAAAATTCTGTTCTGTAAAATATATTATCTTTCAAAAACTTTTATATATTTGAGAAGAAAAAAAAGAAGAGCTGTTTCACCTAAATTCTGTACTTGTTTTGCTTCTGAGCAGAAAACTAACCGTGATAAATCTAAATGCTAAACTGAAAATAGCCACAGAGTAACCAGCCTGCTGCCGAGAAAGCAGACCTACACTCTGTTGCCTTCAGCAGACCCATTTCCCGCATAAACCACTATGACTTGCAATTTAGGTAGAAGACAGCCTGAACAGACTTAATTATTTGTAAAAAAAAAAAAAATTTTCCAAATTCTGTATTTTTTTTTCTTGTTACATAAATTCTATGTATTCTTCCTATTTTGTATACTGTTCACACTGACAGTATATTCATGTTCGTCATGTGTTGGGCAGACGTGAACAAACCGAGTTTCACAATGCTGACTTCACAATGCTAATTCTGCTAACACTGAAATACAGTTCTTGAAGGGTGCCCATGTGACATCCTACCTGGACATTCTTTAGAAGCTTACATGGTACATCTCCCCTTGTTCACTAATTATAGGCAGGAAAGCCAGGAAAAAGTTTTTTATCCTCTGTTGCTCTTGGTTCATTAGTGTTACGAGCTGGGGCACAGTCCTACTGTGGTCATACTTGGAGGTTGAGACATACTTGCAGAGAACACAGACTGCACCTGCCCTTCCCCATGACACTTATAATGTTTGAAAGGTCTCACTAACCTGAACACTGGAGGAGAATGCAGGAGCTTGGCCTTCTTACACTGTGGATGATTTGAACATCTCATGTTGATTGTGTGGTTTTGTGTTATGGGGGAGGTGCAGAAACTGATGCATAAGTCAGATAATAGTGTGGCACCTGTGGTGCATGTTGAGGAGAAAAAGCAGAGCGCAGTGTTGATTATGACAGCGCAGAAGTTTTCTCACTTGTTTCTGTGGTGAGGAGTATATGTGTACTTAAAGTCTGAGTGTAGCCTAGCTCACAAGCAGATTATGCAGCATTTGATACTGTGGGTATTTGAGGGTAAACATGCCAAAACCACTCTACTGAGTGTTAACAGAGATTCCATTAACCCTCTGTCTGTCTTTGACAATAGCCCGTAGCAGATCTACTGATAATTTCGCAGTGTGTTTTCTCCCACTTCCAAGGATCTGCAGTTCAGGGACTTTCTGAGCTCCTGGTGTCACTGCTGCAGATTTCTTGGCCGTACTGGACTGTCGGACCACCTTGACTTCATGTAGACCTTTGATTTTTTATTTTTTTTTAAGTGTCCAGCTAAACATGGCCTGATTTCTATGTGGAGGCTTCAGGTAGTCTTGAAATACAGATAATAATCCACTGGCATCCCAATAATGTTCTCTTTGCATGAAATTGAATATATGAGATAGAATTTGCTTGGATATTGTGCCTGGGGAAGACACAAAGGATTCAAGATTGTGCTTGCTAGTGCGTGCCTGAGGAATGCATACGAATAAGTAAGTTTTCAGGCCAAACTTCTTTACTTGGATTCTGCTGAAAATAGTTCAAGCTATTAGTTTTTTGCCAAAGATTTGAACTACTTGGTGCACCTCTAAAAGGGAGGGAGATGAGCAGCCAAAAGAGGGAAGAGAGGGGAGGCTTGGTGGTCCAAATAGACAGGCAGAAGATCTGTGATACGCATGCTCTGTTGACATAGTTCCTTACAGCCGTACTCTGGCTGAATGTCTGGCTGAGATTTTCACACCGACGTTACCTCAGAATACTGGATGTGAGTCCTTGCTGGACTGGAAACGTGAGCTGGTACTCAAAGCAGTGGATTATCTTAAAGGACATTTTCTTTTCTATTTGTCCCTCTTTAGGGATCTACTGTACTGTTATTCTATTTTTCACTTGTTCTCTTCACTTAACCCTGCCCCTGTAGTTCTTTCTGTGGAGTGACATGAAATACTACAACGACATTACTTCATAACGGCAAATTTTGAGAGACTGCCTTTATTGGTACAGGTCAGTTGAGAACCAAATAAAACTTATATTGGTCATGAGCTGCACAGATGTGTGGCAAGCTAAGATAGATGCTGTACTAGTGTAACTCTGGCTGACCTTGAAGCAACTCTTTCCTAAAGGTTAGGATTAAGCAGCAGTCGCTTCCTGCTTTCAGGTCTGTTATGTGACTTTGGAGCAACCTGATTGAAATCTTAAAGGGAGAAGGAGACAAATTGTGCGATTGTGGTACATGCTGCTACTTTAGGGCTCATGGTTTCTCTTTTGAAGTGTATTTTTGAAATCTTTTATTTCTAAAGCATTCACATTTGCAGATTGTGTTCTAAAACAAAAGTCAAGATACTGTATAGCATTGGATCAGAGTCTCCAGGGTGAACCAGTGCACTGTGCTTCCATTTCAACGTATTGTAGAAATTACGTGCCTGCAATAAATATTTGCAGCAGCAGAATCAAGATCATAGATGGCAGAAGTGTAAAAAAACAAAAACCCTTAAAAAAATTTGCCACTACCCTGGTACGGAAACAAAGATTCACCCCTTGGTACTGTTTTTAGTAGAAAGGACATCTCAGCCTGTTTGCGCTGTGGTTGCTTTGTTTTGGATTTTTTTTCTTAATGACTCATAACACTCTTTCCTGACCTAATTTCAACTCACACCACTGGGCAAAGTGCCGGCATAGCCAAAAGGGGGACTGCATGTGTTCTGAAGCATTCGCTGCCCTGCGCAGAACCAGCCAGGGAGAAGAGTGGGGACAGGAGCACCTCTGTCCACTCCCTGCTGGCAAAGCCTGCCTTGCGGCTGTGTGTTGGGACAGCAGCTTTACTTGCCGCATAGATGTGAAAGCACAGCACGTTCCTTCCTAGTGGTGTTTTTAAGCGTATTGCACCATTTCACTATGGGAGACACAAGAGAGATTCTGTAACCAGGAAAGGATTGCCTAAGCAGCTGTTTTCTAAGGGGAAAAAGGTGACACGATGGTGCTGATAAGGGTCAGGTACCACTGAGCTCCAGTGATCTGGTAGAAAGGACTGAGTGTTAATGGGGAGAAAAGGAACATCCGGAGTGAGCGTGGTTTTTGCAAGAATGGTTTGAAACAGTTTAAAACTGATATTTCAAAACTGTCATACAAAGGACTTTCAGCCTTTGGGCCGGACCCGACCCTGCCTTCATCATGGACAGCCCACAGCTTCATAAAGCTCTCCCTCTGCTCCTCTCCAACATCCCTTCTTTTGTTTCCCTATTCCAATCTCCACCCCTGTTTTGCTACTCTCTGCAAGAGCTTCTGCGTACTTTCTGCCCCAGTCTGCACTGCCCCGTGCCCACCTCTTTGCCTCCTACTGGGAAGTGAAAAGGCCAGAAGTGGAAAGGAGGGACTGCAGGGACAAGGAAGGAGAACAACTAAGGAATCCAGAGTTTCATGGCAAGGGAACTAGGGTGTCAAGGGGATGCCAGGAGAAAACAAACCGGAAAAATGTCATTGCTAAAAGAATGTGTGGGAATTAGGGTGTGAGAGTTTGCGTCTAAGGAAACACTGCTCAGTGTTAAAGCCTGTGTGCAGTATGATATCTGTTGTGTTGACAGAAGGTCCAGTCATCTGGCAACATGAGCTCTGTTATCAGAAGCAAGAAACAAAGATGTGTAGGGGAGTTTCAGACCATGAACCTGGTATTAGATGGAAGGCAGATGAAAATGCTGCTTTATCACAGAATTTTTAGATGAATGCTGTAGGAGTGTGTGTGGAGACCTTCTTCCAAATGGAAAAATATAAAAAACCCACAAGAAAACCCAACCACATGCGATACCCAGCATGAAGATTGAAATGTGTATGTTTTTAATGGAGGAATTCTCATTAAATGAATGAGCTGAACTCAAATCTGTAATATCCTTGAAACAAAACTCATAAATGATTTTGTTAACAAACACCTTTCATGGAAAACCAGCAGGCCAGCGGTTTGGTGAATGTCTCTGGCCCCTCTGGAGTCATGAAGTCCAAGTTAGCTTTATGTCACGAAGAAGGGAGTTTTATCTCATTGTTTCTTACACTTTTTGAAGATCTTCTGCACAGTTAACTCTGTTACCAGCTTTGTCTTAGGATCAGCTCTGACCAGGAAAAGCAGGAAGCGCTGAAGTATCATGATTAAGATAGGCTGGCCTAAAGCCAATCACAGTATCTTTACTAATGGGGTTGTATTTCCTCTTTCATGCAGCCTCCCTGTCTCAGTATTTTTGTAAAAAAA